TCTTTTATCCTCACAAAACCCTCACAGTTAGGACGGCAAGTCCATGATTTCACACCCAAAAGCCTGGTGTGCTCAACTTTTTCAGATGTGAGAGGGGTAAAAATCCATCCTATACCTTTTATTGTATCAAAGCCTCAGTAGCAAGTAAAATCTTTTTGCAGGGAAATGTAAGAATTTTCACACTAAGTGAGTCCTAGTGTAGGTCTGGTCTTGAAGTCAAGTGAATTACCAAATGCTGGTTTTCAGTCTGGGAGTCTGGAATTGTGGACAAGAAACTTTGTATCTGTGAAACCCTTCCTTTTGGGATGAGGCAGGCGAGTTTCAGAAAAGACAAATGAGTGCCAAGATCACTCTCTGTGAAGAGAAGGAGTACAGATGAACATACAACTTTCTCCAACTCCAGAGCCCAGGCTCTTTCTATCTCATGATCCTAAGTTACTTGTCCCAAAGCAAATGGCAGTGGTTTCTGGTGCCTAGCTGCCAAGAATTTTAAAAGCTGTAGCTTGCAGTTTTCTCTCTCGAACAGCACTGGCCCCATCTACTGGACACATGTAAGAATGACATGTGACCCACGCTGAGAAATGAAATTTATTGCCCTGGTAATAAGTTCTAAGAAGAGCAACTGAATTCTTGTGCAGCTGTAGCAGCACAAATCATATTTCAGAGACCAGAAAGCTGCCATTGAGTTAACCCTACACAGTTATTCCTTCAAAATAACAACAGTCATGAAAAGTCTCACCCAGTGGCAGAACTTGGAGAGTAAAACTGCCAGTTCACCATTCTCCGCCTCTCCAGAACGTCTCTTCTAAAACACTTTCTTGCTCCAAACTTCAGGAGTTCCCAGCTTTACATCGGAGTGACTCCACTGGCCTCCCAGTCGCACCTGCCACTTGAGCGGTTGCTCACACCAAGCGCCCCTTGGCCCATGGTCCCTTCTCATACCCCCCTATTCTATTTCAGCGGTCAACTACCCGGATTGTTTATTTGCCAGCTTTCCCGGCCAGACTCAGCTCCTGCACCTAGTAGAGTGCCTGGAATAGTTCGAATATATGTTTTTAAAGATTTATTTATGTATGCATACAGAACTGGGGTGCAGGCCAGAGATGCAGGGGCGGTGAGAGGATTCACCAGACACAGAGTGGGGAGCAGAACAGGCAGATCAATGAAGTACCCTGCTGACCGGAGCAGCGGGGGGTGGGGGGGGGTGGTCAGGAGAAGTCTGTCGCACCATGTGGATCACCTGGGGGAGGGATCGAACTCATGCGGAAGTGGCTTTAGCTTCTTAGTGCTGTGCTTTAACCCGCTGTGCCGCCAGGGAGGGCCCTCGAATATTTTTTAAGAGATGAGAGTTAGAGTGATTTATTTTATTTGCTTAAGGCAATAAAAATATATTGATTAAATGTATACGCGGTAATTGTCAGTCTTCCCAGTATCATTGTAAATATACTTCAGAATGATTTCTTGAATGTGAATTTTGGTATAAGCAGGATGGAGAGAACAAGGATACTTGTCTTCTGGAAAAGGGAGATTATCAAAGAGTGTGATAATCATTTGTCTCTGTAAAATATGATGCTTTCCTTGAATATCGCACATAATCTTTTTTTTCTCAGCATCTTCAGTTAATTGAAATAAAATCGCAAAATGAATTATCCAAGGAAACGAAGTCTTTCACGGTATATGCCACTTTAGAGGTTGGGATGGTTTACAAAATACACATATATTTTTTTTCTTTTGGCATGTATATTGTCTTTGCAATAATTTTTTTCATAGGATTTATATTCCATAAATTCACTAATTTAGACTATATAGCTCAGTGATTTTCAGTAAACTCACAAAGTGGTGCAACTATTGATTGCTACATGAAAAATTATAACATTTTTATCACCCCCCAAGAAGTCCCATACCCTTTAGCTTTTGACACTCAAGTGTCCTTCTTGTCCATGACTCTGGCTCTGTTTCTATGGATTTGCCCATGTCAGACATTCCAGGTCAATAAAATCATAATATATGCCATGTTTTTAACTAGCTTCTTTTACTTAGCGAATGTATTTGAAGTTCATTCATATTGCCATCTGTATCAGAACTTTGTTTCTTGTATTCTTACTTGTAGCTATATCATATTTCTATATCATATTTTGTTTATCCATTCAGCAGTTGGACATTTGAGTCGCTCCCACCAGCAACTAAATGTGCAGTGCTACTTTGAACAACTGAGTACAGGTTTTTATGTTAGCATACATTTTTTTCTTGGGTGGCTACGTAAGAATGAAATTGTTCCATTAAACAACAGAGGTATATTTATTTCTTTCCCATACTAGATTATAAGCATCTGGAGCCCTCTCTGGTGGCCCAAGATGTTAAGTCTCAGCACTAAAAGCTATCACCAGCCACTGCAACATGAGCTCCATTCTGAGCCAGGGAGCTGAACCCCATGGCCCAGCAGACCTCTCCTGACCCGCCTGCTGCTCCCCTCAGCAGTGTATTTCAGTAGATCTGCCTGTTCTTCTCCCCACGCTGTCTCTGGTGAATCTGCTCACCCACCCCATCCCCACCCCTGGCATTGCTGACCTACATCCCAGTTCTTGTATGCATAAATAAATTACATCTTTAAAAAAAAAATGAAAGCATCAGTAAAGCAGTGTATTCATCTCTTGGTCCAGTACTGTGTATACAGATATTTAGAACATATTTATTGACTGGAATGAATGAATGCATGATATTTACAACTCTAACATGGTAAGGACATGGGGAACTGGGCAAACAATATAAATAAAATGAATATTTTTTTTAAAAATACCTCAAATCATGAATAATCTTAATAATGGCAGATAAAATTGCAAAATTCTCATAATCCCCAGTCCTGTAAAGTGAGAGCAACAATACCTTTCAGAGTTATTATGCTAAAATTGTTTTCCTTACGGAGGCCTCAAACAGACCTGGCGTATACACTGGGTGCTCAGTCAGTGCTCTCTGAGTTCAGAACGACCCCTCACCCACAAACCAACCTAAGATTTGGCCTTCTGTGAAATAGTGTCTACTTTGACCTCAAAAAGACTGAGTTTTCATCTCACTTGTAGCTGTCCTTTGCTACCCAGTGTGAGATGGATGTGCCTGAGTCTGTATTCAGCATATTGAAGCCCCTGATTAACATGTGAAAAGAGGTGACTGATCTTGCTCTCAGGAAATGATGAGGAACTGTCACTGCAACAGTTCTGCCTGGAGGGGTCCCCATGTCCCTGTGACCCCATGTGCTCACTGTGTTCCAGCATCAAGTCTGGAATTAGACTTTCACCGTCCAATGGGGGCAGAAGATTTATTTATTTATGCAAGAGCTGGGGTGTAGGCCAGTAATGGGGAGGGAGAGGGTAGGTGAAGGCATTCACCAGAGACAGAGTGGGGAGAAGAACCGGCAGATGGAGGAAGGGCACTGCTGAGGGGAGCAGTGGGGTGGTCAGGAGAGGTCTGCCGTGCATATGGGTCACCTCCCTGGCCAGGGATTGAACTGATGCTGCAGTGGCTTCGATGCCCTAGGCTAGCTTCATCGTGCTGTGCTTTTACCTGTGGCGCCACCAGGGAGGGCCCAGGATCCATCTTTTAAAGACTGGCCTTTGTCTAGTGTTTTTGTTACAGTGATCTTTTGGGCACAAAAGCCAAAGTAAGGGAGTTGTTCACATTTATTTTACTATTACGTTAAATGTGTTAAAATTAAAAAGAAATTTAAAATAAAAGTGGGCATTTAATTAAATAATTTTTTAATGATGGGTTAAATTTTGTCGATTAAGATGACTTCCACACTAACACAAGTTTAAATTTCAGAATCTGAATGCATTTCAGTTACTCTCAACTTTAAAAAAAATACCACCCAGGTTAGTCTTGCTTCACTGACTAGATAAAAATAATATGTCAGCAGTGTGTAATCAATTCAACCATGTAAAAATTGCTAGCTTCAGTCTATTATGTATGCAATATGATTTTTATAAATAAAACACATGAAACTTTCTGAAAATGACAGCATGGCAAGAATCACTTTTCTTACCATCTTGTATACACTATTAATTTGGTTATTATCCACTTTCTTTTAATAAGTAGAACAGAGACATTCTCATTTCCTGTCTGTGAACAAATCCCCAATTAGCACTGTGAGAACTACCAAGTTTTATTGCAAGGATAAATAAGTACCCTAAAGGGCCTCCATTTGTGGTGGCTTTGACAATTCACAGCTACCCTCCAGGTGATCACCAACAACTGAATCTTATCATGGGGCTCTCACCCCCAGGGAACCCCACCCCACAGCCTACCAGAGCCACAACCAGGAATGTTCTAGCTTTGTGGGCTGGCAAAAGAATTTGTAACTTAGAACTGGACCCGCTTGGGAAAGTAGCCAGTTCCTGTGTCATTACAGAAAAACCCAGGATTAAGAGAGAGCCTTGAAAACCATAATTACCACACATTGCACAGGTGGGTGATTTATAAAGGTGGAGAAGTTTGCCCTGGGCGGGACCCTATGAGCCCACAGTTGAAGGCCATTTTCACTGCAATGTTTTACATTGCCACCAATTACTATTGATATTTTTCAATTGGAAAGAATAAGAACTCAAGAGGGCTGAGTGTGTATTTCTTGTAATCCAGAGATACAGGAGGAGGCAGATCCGTCAAAAACGTCCCCAGTACAAAAGTTGGCAAAATAAGTAGCTTTTTTAAAAACTGAACTTTATAACCGGAGAAAGTCTCCCACAAGGAGCGTGTCCTGAGCCAAGTTTAAGCAGAGGAAAATTTTTCCAACATGTCAGGAACGAAGCTGACATTCCATTAAGGGGAAAAAAAAAAAACAAAACTGCTGGAGGAAGGAGAAAGGGGGGAGTAGGGGGGAGGCACCAGAATTCAGACGGAGTTTTAAATTCCAGACGGGCCACAGTTGGAAGCGCTGGCAAGGCTCCCCCTCCTACGGAGGACCGCGCATTTCTCCCTTGAGCTCCCAGCCCCAGTGGACATTTCCTGTCCTGCCTCTGGAACAAACCAAAACGTAAAAAACATCCTTTCCCGCTACCCAAGCACCGAACTCAGAGACCATCTCTCTTCACGTCGGTGAGCTCCACGCCTGCCCTCCCTTTCCTTCCGTGGAGCCCCACCCTGACCGGCAGCACCGGGCTTCCCAAGGAGAGCTGATGGGTCCTCTGTAGCAGGTGGTGCAGAAGGCAACGAGAAACGACCCTGGAGACCCCCCACCAAAGAGGTAGGGGCCGTGGGTGCCATGAACACTTGTCCTGCAAGCCCCTCGGGCATTACTTGCTGCTGAGTGTGGGGTGGGTGGGTGGGTGTACTCAATAGGGGGTGAGACTTTTCTTTCCCTCTCTTTCCAGCTTCAATCTTGGGTCCCTGGCTGCACACATCTTGTTTGCATTCTCTGTGTTAGGGCAGAATTCTGAAAATTCCTGATTTCTTTCTTCTTTATTTCCTCCTTTTGGAGAATTCACAAATACCTTCAGTTCTGAATAAATTCACAGAGACATGGCTGTGAAAAGGCACTTTCATGGTGATCAACTGGGGTCCAGCTGTTTCAGGAGACCTTCACCATGTGTCTTTCTGCCCTCCATGCTGGCTCCTTCCCTGTCTCCACCCGCCATCATGGGCACATGCACATCAGTTGTTCCTGCAGGTGTGGTGTGTGGGATGTGGCCCAGGGTCCCTGGGCACCTTTGAGTGCCAGTGCTCTGGTTTGGGGACAGAGGCCAGGAACACAGCTGCTGGTGCCAGAGCTAACTGGTCAATCCAGAGCTAACTGGATGTGGCCATGACTTCCTTAGGGAGCGGCTTCCAGCACCGATTGTTCCAAGGCTGGCTTTGGCAACACGCATCGTCACATTGAACTGACTCAGAACTCAGCGTGACTTTGCTCAAGGAATACTCACAGATACATGGTGCCTTCACAAAAAAAGCCTTTCCAATGTCCTTCCTCTGAATTCCTATGGCTTTTACTTATCTACACCACATGTTTTCCTCCTTACCCACACACTGCCATTCCCTGCTCACTAAGAGGCTATAGTAAATTAGAAAGTGAAACAAAACGAGTCATAACCTACTTGTTGAGGATCCCAAGAATGGCAATTAACTTTTGAACATTTGCTGTGTGCCAGGCCAGTACATGTCATCACCATTATCCCCATTTTACAGAAGAGGGAAATTGAGGCTGGAGACACAACTAACATGAGGTCACTGAACTAAGGTACCTGAGTCTTTAAGCCCTGCTGCTGTGCTCTGAAACCAGAAAGACTGGGGCTTGAAACCTGGTCCCAATATGATCTAATTGGGGGACTTTCGATAAGTTTTCCCATCTGTAAAATGGGATAATAATAATCCTGTCTCCCAGAGGTGTCATAAGAGGTAAAGTAACTTGAAAAGGATATTCCGCTGAGGCAAGTGAATAATGCACGTGTGCTGTCCCCACCCCTCCAGTGTGTGGTACAAATGCAGAGGGATGCCTTGCAACTGAAGAACCACAGGGCTCTGTAGGAGGGAGCGCTCATGCCTTGTGAGGACTCGGACCTTCGGTGAGGAACACTGGCGTTCACTGCCAAGCAGAACCAGGCTGTACCTGCCCACTCACAGACTCTAAGCTCCCTAAGGACAGGGTTTACATCTTAGATACATTTTGTTTATCTTAGAAAATGTTTCTCAAACTGTGGTCTAAAGACAGCATTGTGTTTTGGAAGGGACTCGAGATCTGGGGAGTAGTTCAAACTTGTAGGTATTCCAGGATCATCTTCATTCCACATACAATAAAGCAGCTCCATCTTTACCTGACTTAGATGTTGGGGTTCCTCGTTGTCTTGAAAACAGTTTTTAGAATTGCTTACCTGAAACTTGGAATGTTTTGTCTAGGTTGGAAATGACTACTTATGGAAGGGAGTTGATTTATGGAGGTTTCTCAGTTGCCTCTGCCTAGGCTCTCTCTGGGCTCTTCCTATCTGCATTCTACTTGCATGATCATCTCCTGTCCTGGGCAACCCCCTGGAGGTGTGTACCAGCCAGTTCAGGAGGTGAGCTTGTCCACTGAAAGTAGCCTGTCCTCATGAGCCCTAGAGTGCTTGTATTACAACCCGGCCTCTCTCTGGTCTTTCCTGTAGCACTTTAAGTTGCTCATAGCTACAGACTGTGACTACAAATGACAGTCATTATTATGGAACTTCCTTAATGGCAACAGTGTCCTTACTGAACCAAGCTGTGTATGTGCTGGGCATATGATACAGATAAATTCACCTTCCCCACAAAAGCCTTACCAGGCAGCTTTGGCATGCTCCCCACTCTGCAGATGTATCTAAAGGTAGAGATATCAAGGGACTTGCCCGAGGACACTGGCCAGTAGTGGTGAAGGTGGGTTTGAAGCCTCATCCTCTGAGTCGGAACCACTGCCTTGAGTGTTTCTGCAACCCTTTTTGACAGAGGTACGAGGGATATCTCTGTGAATGTGGTTCTTTCACATATTTAACAAAGGATGCTCCTGAGAATAAGCTGTGAAGAACAGTGACAGAGCTAGGACTGAGTGTTCAGTGGAGGAAAGAGGATGTCTGTGAAAAGGTAGAATCTGCATTCTTGATCAGTTGTGCCCGTGAGACACATCCCCACTCCTTTGGGTGATGGTCTGGCATAATGGAAAGATACAGCTCTGTAGCCAGATACCTGGGTTCAAATCCCAGAGCGATCACATACTAGCTAGTTCCTCTTATGTAATTATATAACCTCTGTGCCTCCACTTCTTCAAGATAATGACTTCCTGCTAGAGGGAGGCTAATACAGTATGTATTTCACAAAGATCTTAGGATAAAATTACTTCATCCACAGTAAGAATTTAGAACTATTTCTCTAACACACTGAATAAATACTTTCTATGTACCTCTTTACCTAAAGAATTGGGTGACAGTTTGGAAAAAAAGTAACAGTTCTTTGAGACTTAAAGTAGGCACAATATTTAAATTTTTTATATAATTTATTTATTTAAATATATTTTACATCATTGTTCACTTAAGTAGACACAGTTTTAATGGAGCCGGACTATAGTCAGAAAGGTCCCAGGGCCCCTGAAGGGCCAGGTAGGACCTAGGAGAAAAGCTGAGATCTCTCTTCCAGGGGTGAAGAGGTAGAATGGAAAATAGTCTATAGTATTAGTCTTGCCAAATTGGACCCTTTGATTAAATGAAATATTTATTTCTGTGTAGTTGTGGCAATTAGTCCCACCTTTGATCTGTTGTTATTAAAAAAAATGAAAAAAAAATTGCTTGACTCTTTTTAATAAGTAAACACTTTTGGCTGAACTACTTTTGGTTTTAGAAGGATAACTTTAAGATTTAAAGCTATGAGATAAAATGTAAGGGCTCAATTTTGACTTATTTTGTGGCTTTTTCAGAGAACGAATTTGTGAGCACAATCAAAGTCTAGATCAAATTTGTAATGGTCTTGAATATAGTGTACACCTGCTTACCCACATTTTTACTAGAAGTCAAAGTTAGCAAGAAATAAGTTAATGACTGACATTAATTGAACACTTACTATGAGCCAGACCTTGTACTAAGTGTTCTATCTGCATTATCTCATTTGTTTAATCCTCACAACCCCCTGTCAGGTAAGTACTATTATCCCCAGCTCAGAAATGAGAATAACAAGGTTTGGAGGAGGCAATAACCACACAACTGTTGAGTGTTAGTTAGGACTGCCTGATTGGGGGTTGGCGCTTAAAGCTCACCTTCTGGTTCTAGTGAATCTAATCACCCTTGGTGTAAGCCCTTTCTTCTGAAGAGTGTTATATTTGGAAATGGGTGAAAGGAGCAGCGACCCTCACGGATGTTGTCTGAGGAGAGGGGTGGTCGGGACATGCAAAGGCAGCTGATAGGAGAGTTTCAGGGTGATCGCATCTCAACCTGAAAACTGTCAGGCAGGGCCAGATGTGGAGAAACTTATAAAGTAGGTTGCCTGCTTTTACCTTTCTCTGGGCACCTCTCTGCCCAGGGATTTCTACCTCCTTTGTCACATCTGGACAAAACAGGGTCCACTGATAACCTCCCACTGTGCCCCACTCAGCCTGGGGTAGCCTTAGCACCCAATCCTGAAATGAATGCTCTTACTTGTTGTTCATCAAAATGCCCTTTGACCAGTGTTTGATTCTTAGCAAATCATTGGAACATGATTCATAGAGATTCGAGAAGCAGGGGTAGTTGTAGTGGGAGGCTTGTCAGCCACTCAGCACAGTAGGAGAGGCATCTTGGAGGAAGGCAACTTCTGGACAGCCCCTCGCGGCTCCCCACAGTTATCTGGTCCATAGCGGGGAAGGCAAGCTCCTTTCTGTGGGTCTGAGGTGCCAATGACAAGCCTCTTGTGTGTTATTAGAGAAACTGCTATTCTGAATTCTCAAAACATTAGCAGGCACAGCTCAAGGGAGCAGTGTGAAGATGTTCCTTATTGGTGCCCAGACCCCCCTCTCTTTCCACCCACCTTCTCATCCAGACTCTCTTTCTCAACAATAGTAAGGTCTTTAGGCCCTGAAGTCACTGAACAACCTTCCAGCACACATCTCCCACGCGTGGGTGTGTTTACAAGAATCAAATTGTTTTGCTGGGGAACAAGCGGTGACATTCCAACTTAGGAATCAGCAGTTTGGAGGAGGTTTTTAAGGATTTTAGAATATGTCTTTCTTAGCAAGTCCCCCTCTCCCTCCCCCTAGCCCAGACTACAAATTAGTGTTCATGTGGGACCCATCAATAATTGTGGAGGGTCCTAGTTTAATGACTGAGGAGGAGTTAGGGAAAGGAAGGAAATCTGTTGACTATCCCAGGCCACCCAAGACATAAGGGGTGAGGAGGATCGGGAGGGGCTCCTGCCTCTTCTGCATGTTCTATCCTGTGGAGAATGAGGACATTTTCTTCCTCCCTCTCAGCCGCTGTTTTCAAAAGGAAGTTCCAAAGAGACAGAAGCAGACAGGAATAGTTGAAAAAGTAGACACAATACAGAGCAAAATGCCCCAAGGCTGCAGGAGGAGACTCAATATATGTTCAATGTTCAACACGTGGGGCCCTCCTAGATCCTTGGAACTTTCCACAGTTTGACTTTCTGGCTAATTATTACCATCTGCTCTGCTGGGCTTGCCAGTCGAGTTGCCAGGCCAGCCTGAAGGCGGCACCAGCCTCTGCCAGCTACCCTTGGTGATTTGCTCAGGTATAAGCAGGCGGGCCCATGGCCCGCTGA